ATAAGCATAATAGTCGCAACTTGTTATTGCTCTTCACCATCATCATGACTATTAACATCCCAACCATATGTACCATAAGGTAGCAATAGTGGATATTGTAACAAATCATAAAATCTGACATAGTCTCGGATGTGAGAAAGTCGTCCATTAATTGTCTCCACCACGATATCCCTTCCATTCGCAATTGTGGCATTATCTCCATCTATTATAATTGCCGCAACTTGTGAAGCTAAAGGTAAACTATACTGACGCCGATCTATTTGTTGCTCTTTTAGGATCAACTTGCAATTCGACAAATCTTGGCGTTGTCCGAGGCTTCGCAATGTATGAATAAAAGGATTATGGTTGTTCAACATCTGTTGTATCTTTTCAACCACACGTCTATCTAAAACTTCACTTTCACACATTCGATTTTCAACTTCATGCTCAATGTCATATATATAAGCTTGTAAAAATCACGGTATGTTCCCTTCATTTGGTAAAAATCCACCAATCTTGTGATATAATGCACCTTGAGCACGAAATGTGTAAATCTCATGACCACCAATATTTATTCTTTCATCCATGTGTACTCCCATTGAAGTGAATGAAAATGCGTGATTGTAAGCTCAAATATTTTGCTTGAAGTGTCTACCCTCAATTGTTTGGTTAGAGAAAAGAGCATCCATTTCTAGTGGAGACTATATTGGGGGTAAAGCAACTCTTCCTTTCAAGCAACACATATTCAAAGTTTCTCGAGTAAACAATCATTCATAGTAGTAAGGACATGTGGTTGGAGCAGGTAATTGGCAACCTAAGATACCCCGGTTCTTATTGTAATTTCTAGCACAATTGTGGTTTCTTCTTCCTCTGCTTTGGCGCACATGATGATTGGTTCTATTAGCATGTTCTTCTTCTGATATTTTTACATGAATATCCAACACTCAGTATAAGAATTTTCTTTGTAACTTGTTTATACCATATTTAAGGCCTCCGTATTTAGACCTCGTATAAATACTCGAGGGACTCAAATGTAATTATGTAAAAAATAAAGGGGCAAATATGTAATAAGTGAGGAGCCCTTATTCTATAAAAGGACTCCTCACTCTCCTCATTAGGGGAGGCCAAGTTTTAGGCCATGGGAAGAGAGCACACAGAAAATAGGCTAGAGAGCACATTGCCTCTAGCCTTCTTGTATATTCACCATTTAGAGTGAAATAATATCAACATTAGTGTGGACGTAGCCTAAACATTGGGGTGAACCACGATACATCTTGTGCTCTTTAATTTCTTGCAGATTCACGGTCGGATTTACGTTGTTCCAAGACCTCTCCGGTTTTGTGCATCAACATTTGGCGCCGTCTGTGGAAAACGACACAAAAAATTACGTCGGTTCTCTTTTCATTTTTTCATATCATACTCCACTGTGAATCTGCAGAAACCCAAGAACCAAAAACCTACAGAGTCACTGCAAAACCCATGCCTTCCGCTCCAGCTCCCCGTCACGACAACAGCTACAAACGAGCTTCACAATACTCATATTTGTCTCTCTCCTCTCTCTCTCCTATGAGTAATCTGTCTGTTTGTCTTCATACATATAAATCTCTTTCCTTCCCAGCTATTTTGACAACCAAAACTCTCTCTGCCTCTCTCATGCTTCTGATCTCTTTCACCTTAACAAACTCAACAAACCCAACAAACCAAACAACTTTCAACTGAGAGAGAGGGATAAATGGGCGGACGAGATTTATCTGGAGAGAGAGGCAGGGGTAGCGCAGTGCAAGTAAAGAGAAAGCAAAATCAAAAGCGATGGCGAAAGAGAAAATAAGGGCGAGAGTCAGATTCCTTCCTTCATTCTCTCTCATCCTCATAAAAGCCGAACGTATTTCCCAACTGTAACTCCCGAGCACACATCCATAGTGTGACTGGGTGTGGAAACACCCAAATCCTCAAAAGTTCCTCAGTCGACGATTCCAACGGTGTTAATGTCTAGCATTTACTCTGCTTCTCCGATTATCACGTGCCACCTGAAACCGACGAGTTCGCTGCAGAAGGATTCCGTTCCTGTTTCTGTTGCGTTTCCCGGCCGGGTCGGATTTACATTGGTCGATCGCGGCTTTGCTCTGTCAGTGGCTCGGGATGTCTCAGCGGAGTTAGGAAAGACCACCGATGGGGTTCTAAGTAAGAAGAAAGGGCTGGTGAATTACCCATATGCTCTGTGGCGGAGGTACGTTGACTGGCTGTACCAGCATAAGGAGCTCGGTTTATTTCTGGATGTGAGTCAGGTCGGGTTCACAGACGAGTTTGTTTCCAAAATGGAGCCCCAATTCCAAGTGGTGTTCAAGGCCATGGAGGAGCTGAAGAAGGGCACGATTGCTAATCCTGATGAAGGCCGCATGGTTGACCATTACTGGCTCTGAAACCCAAAGATCGCCCCCACCTCCTTCCTCAGGTTGCGGATTGAGAACACCCTCAAGGCACTTCTGAAGTTCTCGAACGACATCGTCAGCGGTAAGATTAAGCCGCCATCTTCGCCGGAAGGTCGGTTTACTCAAGTACTATCAGTTGGAATTAGAGGCTCAGCACTTGGACCACAATTCGTTGCTGAGGAATTAGCTCCGGATAACCCTCCTCTTAAGATAAGATTTATTGACAATACTGATCCAGGAGGAATTGATCATCAGATTGTACAGCTTGGGCCCGAGTTGGCTTCAACACTTATCATTGTGATTTCAAAGAGTGGAAGTACTCCTGAAACTATAAATGGGTTACTGGAAGTATAGAAGGCCTTCCGTAAGGCCGACCTAAACTTTGAAAAACAGTGTTGGGCAATGTTTGCTGCTCTACGGTGATGTAACTTGTTGTAGCAGCCCCTACCATTGTCGGTGAGCATGGAAGACATGATTGCGGATCCGGCCCCTACCACTGTCGACGAGCATGGAAACCATGATTGCGGATCCGGACAGCAGTCATCCACCATCCCACTGAAAAACCCATAGGAGAACAAAGTAAAAGCAAAGCAGAAAAAACAGAGAAAAAGCAAAAGCTCAAATTCCCTTCAATTGTGCAGATGGGCTCTGCCAACCTTGACGTTTTGAAAGTTGCAGGAAATGGAGTGGGAAAAACAAAAGCAGAAAGCAAAAGAAGATAAAAAGAAGCAGACATAATTGTGGGGGTGATGGAGAAGGGAATTATGGGTGTGACCCATCGAGCAGGTCTTGCCCCCGCAACTGCCAGCTGCACATGCTATCCCACTATCCAACCATCTGTTATACCCACCTTCTGCAGCAGCTTTTTTGAATGATATGATTTACTTTTCTTATCTTTTGCAGACATCTGTATAAACCCACCAGAGGGTAATCATAAATAAATAAAGAAAGCAACACGCCAAAAACAAAAAAGGGCAAGCCCAATATAATAGGCTGGAATGTTATGTGGAAGGCGAAGACCCATAAGCCCAAAATAACACCAACCAGATGATCAAAAGTACGTCCATTACTCTAAAATTATTTGGTAGCCTGACGCTATTATCACCAACCAAGTGATCAAAAGTACGTCCAGTACTCCAAAATTATTCGGCAGTCTGCCGCTATTATCTCCAATTAGGTGATCAAAAGTACGTTCAGTACTCCAAAATTATACATGAGCATCACTCATGTCAATCATACATAAACATTCATGAGCATCACTCATGTCAACATTCATGAGCATCACTCATGTCAACATCCATGAGCATCACTCATGTCAATCAACATAAACATTCATAAGCATCACTCATGTTAATCAGCTTTAAAAGCTTTATTTACAGAGCTCCAGCTTCAAAAGCTTCATTTACAAAAGCTTCACCTACAAAGCTTCAGTGCAGGGTATACAAAGACCGCCTCCGAACAACCGCCACTTCTGCCCATACATGGATTCAATTTGAAGTCTCTAGCCAACAGAATCTATTGACTGAAAACTTGGAGGACTACACTATGTACCATATATTGGGCTTCCGCAACTGGGCCTTATGAAAAATACTTAGGGGACTTAGCCCATCACTTATGTATTGAGGAACAAACCCTTATTTTATAAAAGAGACTCCCTCACCTTCATTAGAGAAAGACTCTTAGCCCATCACTTATGTATTAAGGACCGAACCCTTATTTTATAAATAGGAATCCCTCACCATCATTAGAGAGCATCACCGCCTGCTGAGCAACCGCTTTACCGCGAGCATCACTCCTAACCCATCATTTATGTATTGAGGAGCGAGTCCTTATTTTATAAAAGGGACTCCCTCACCATTATTAGAAAGCATCACCGCCTGCTGAGCAACTGCCACGCAGTGAGCATCACTCCTAACCCATCACTTATGTATTGAGGAGCGAGCCCTTATTCTATAAAAGGGACCCCCTCACCATCATTAAAGAGCATCGCCGCCTGCTGAGCAACCGCCTCGCCGCGAGCATCGACTCTAGCCCATCATTTATGTATTGAGGAGCGAGCCCTTATTCTATAAAAGGGACTCCATTACCTTCAACGTCACAAGCCGAGCCAACCAAGGCAACATAAGCCACAAGCCGAGCAGCCTCGCAACATGTGATACTTCTAGTTGAGCATCATTTCACATTGAGCACCGCCTCATATCGAGTATCAGTTCTAGACGACATCTAGTTACTTTAGCCCACACATGGATTGAATTTCAAGTCTCCAGCCAAAAGACTCTCTTAACTAAAAACTTGGGGAACTACTGTTTATACCATATTTAAGGCCTCCGTATTTAGACCTCGTATAGATACTCGGGGGACTCGAATGTAATTATGTAATAAATAAAGGGGCAAATATCTAATAAGTGAGAAGCCCTTATTCTATAAAAGGACTCCCCACTCTCTTCATTAGGGGAGGCCAAGTTTTAGGCCATGGGAAGAAAGCGCACATAAAATAGGCTAGAGAGCACATTGCCTCTAGCCTTTTTGTATATTCACCATTCAGAGTGAAACAATATCAATATCAGTGTGGACGTAGCCCAAACATTGGGGTGAACCACGATACATCTTGTGCTCTTTACTTTCTTGCAGATTCATGGTCAGATTTACGTTGTTCCAAGATCCCTCCGGTTTTGTGCATCAACATAACTAATAATATATCTATCTATAGATAGAATTATATACTAAGCTCACCATTGTGGGGAGGAATTAAGAGCATCCCATCAGATATTTGTGACCTATTCGAATATGCTAATTGTCCTATATGAGTACGCATTCTAGCAAAAGTATGGTCATCATGATTTGTGATATCTGACAGAACCCTTGAACTCACGATTTCATGCTCAATTTGTTCTAATAAAAACCACATTATAATATGATTAGTTAAAAATTTTGTGTTTAATATTTAATATATTTAGTTGTGAGTCTAATATTTCGTAAGACTACCACTAAAAATAACTACATCATTGAGATCAATATGATTTCCAAGGAACTGCTAGAGGTATCAGTGTGCAATTGATATGCCGCAAGTTGAAGACAAGTTGTTATTTCCATGGAACTCCCGCAGACTAACTCCTTCAACTTGAGCTTCTCAACCTCTAGTTCCTTACGCTGCAATTCGAGAGCATGCGTCAATTTGCTAACTTTAACAAATTAACCCAGGACACTTTTTTCCTTTTCAAGCCGAAGCCCAAACATGGTATCGCGTAACTCTCCCAGTTTCTTGACTAAGGAACCCACTGGCACACCCAAAGCTACCACATCGTTAATCATGTCTTGCTAACATGGCAACCTATGCTCTGTGATTTCCAATGTGGAAGTATGTTCCATGCCATAAAGCAAGGTCCCCAGTTCCTCAAAAATCATTCCACCCATGAAGAAAGATAAACCTATCAAGCTCACATTTGCATCATCGGCACGCTCAAAGAACTTGCCCAACGCCTCAGCTAGTCTAGAGCGAACCTTTACTCCCATGAAGTCAACCCGATAAGAGAAAGCTTCGCTCGAAGGGATCAGTTCCTCAATCGAATTTAATACCCTAGTTTCATTAGCGATATTATGCTTAAGCTTCCTGAGGGCTTCAACACCTACTCTGGCCCCCTACAACATTTACTCTGACCCCTACAACATAAGTATTCACCTATAAGGGAAAACGAGAAAATATGCACAAGTAAGGAAACAAATCAACAAGCAAAGGCACAAACTAGCACAGCCTACAGATGCTATCTGATATAGAATTCCAATAGACCAACAGGCTTATACATGCACAAGCAAAAACACGAAGAAAACATGCTAGGTGAAATTAGCTACTTTCTACATGCACATGCAAGTCTAAACAAGATTCAAATACTCAAAGAGAAGGCAAACAGTAGCAAATTCACGCAAGAGCAAGCATCAACGAAGAAATGTACCTCTGTACCTTCCATTTCTGCCTGAACATCATCATTTAAAAATCCATCAACTTCGTCAAGATTAACATCCTCTGTTGCTTTACTATCATCCTTGTCACTTGGCTCCCTGCCATTCTCTTCACCCTCTGTGTCCTTCCCTAAGGAAGCCTGAGGATGTTCTCTGCTTCCAAGGTCAGACTCGACACTTGTATTGCTACTTTCCTCAGTGGCCAAGCCTCCTTCAACTGCCTTATTGGCGTCAGCTTCCCCAGTGCTCCACTTTTCCTCACTTGCTTTAGTGATATCGAGGAACTCATGAGGCTTAGGAGTGCCAAAAGAAGCAGACGCTCGGGCACTCTTAGTCCTATGAGCAGAGCCAGCAAGAGCTATTTCCTTGGTGAGAGCCTTAGCTGTAACAAAGTTATAATTAGCATGTAACCACAAAGTGAGATGAGCAAGAAACAAGGGAACAAAGTCTATTACCAGTCTTTGGCTTCACTGTGAAACCTTCACTCTTCAATTTCTTCAAAGTATGGGAAGAGTCAAGCTTGTTGCTAGGTAGACTGTCCTTCACCACCCGAGGCCTGAAGTGTTTCACTGCGTCATCTGAGGCATAACATGTGAAGCAATTTGGAAAAGCATGCAAGAAGAAAGTTAATAAGATAAGTCAAGCTAAGAAAATATACATGAAGTCACCTTCTTCCCTTGACTTGTAGACTTCATGTTGTCAACACTAGACGCCATACTCTTCTTCATACTCCAAGAAGAAGCACCGGAAGCATTGCTTTCCTCAGTTGCAGTAGGGTACTGACGCTTCAAACCGGAAGCAGCCGATGTAGGCTCTATCACTAGTCGGGGATGGTTGATAACATTGGAAAACAACCACGATTGTTTGTCACCATAAAACTTGGCAATGGTAAAGAAAAATTTTAACCAGTAAGCAGCATAACCTTTAAAGATGGCACCTACTCGGGTTCGATTGGTAATGCATTAGAAATGACGAAAACATGTCGGAGGCTATACACGGAACTCTAAAACAGATTGTTGAAAGATATCTTAGCTTCAACAGGGAAACATATTAGCATACCTTAATCAAAACCAAGTTGCCGTCACACCTAGAAATGAGAGTAAATTACACTCATTTCCTCACTATCATCCCCTTTGAAATGGACTAAGGGAGCTAACATAGCTAATGATTTTTCAATGAGCGAAGGAAAATCTAGATTCTCGGATAGAGGAGTTGACGTCACACTTTGATCATCTTCAAATGCAACATCAGTAAAAGAACATCATAGAGGCAAAACCTTCAAGGACTGACATGTATGAATGAAAAATAAAACTGTTCACATCATCCAAAAGCTCCAGGAAGTCCTGCTTCTTAGGTAAATAAAAGGCGAAGTCAATAATGTAACGGCTTTTCATTGCGCCAGAGGGGTAACGAGTTATCTTCAAACCATTGATAAAAATTTTGAAGAAAGGTAGCACATACAAAACTTTTCAATGGGGTACTACCCGCGACTGCTCCTCCAAGGTGTTAAGTTGGTCCAATTCATGGTAGAGGAGCCCGAGGAACAACGAAGCCAGCGAAACCACTTGGCCACATGCGATTACCATGGCCCAATAAATCACTTAGCGACTAAA